GTTTCTGAGCCCTGGCGAGATACCTTTTCAGGCTGCTTTACTTTTACATGGCCCACGTTGCTTAGTTACAAGGCCTGAGGCCTACATTGGGTGAAAAAGGCCCTTTCACCTTGCTCCAGCTTTCTTGTTTTCCGAGTTTCACGACCCCACTTTTCTTCTTTTTTGCTTTTTTTCCCCCCTTCCCGTGAGAGTACCATAAAGAAAATGGAGTGGTTCCCAGCCTCAGCAAAACTGGTAGCGCAGTGAAATTCAGGCTCGGCAAAATCAGGCTCGAAGGTACTTGCAAATCGAAAGGCAGTAAATTACGGCAGATTCGGGCAGAATACAATCATATGATCTACAAAACCCTAAATAGACTCGCAACAACATAGCGGCCAAGGAGACAGATGGCTGAAGAGATGAATTGTTAGTGTGTACTTCATTACAGATACATGATGCTGTGGATAGTGTAAGAGGACAAAGCACACATGAGAAGTCCAATTGCTATTGCCACAGGGGGAGACACAATTGCAGCCAAGGAAATATGCAAGCATACAAGAAATATAAACAGGGGGAGACACAATTGCAGCCAAGGAAATATGCAAGCGTACAAGGAATATAAACAGGGGGAGACACAATTGCAGCCAAGGAAATATGCAAGCGTACAAGGAATATAAAACCCCAAAAGAATCCAAGCCGGTTCTACAGTTCTACTGCTAGGCCAGCCTGAAAAAATGGATGGTGATAGTTACCTTTCTTGCTGTTGTTTGGCTCGATGAGCTCGCATTCTTTCGGCAACCTCCGCAAGGATTGCCTCTACGCCTTCTGGCTTCTTCTTCTCGGATGTCTCCTTCTTCCATGTGTCCTCACCTACTCTCAGTCTCGCCACCCAGAAAAGGACAAGTCTATCATCAGCATCTTATCCTGCTCAAAGGAAACCAACACTCTGTGTAGACAAGCCACACACACATAACATGTACCTATGTACACAAAAGCTGCAACACACTTGGAAGGGACCCTTTTCTTTTTCCCCATTATACCACCAGCACACCAGAACCTGGGGGACTCGCACTGCCGCCAAGCTTTGCTGGACCGCCAGCAGCATGCCGTTTTTATTTTTGGGCTGGCACCACCAAACAAGAGGAACGGTAGCCCCGAGCCAGGAGTGAGCCATGTACTGAGGCCGGAGCCAGGAGTGAGCCATGCCAAGAGTTTTTTTTAAGTTGGCTGGGCCGTGCACTGGTGGTTTAAGAAAGGGCAATCACCTGAAAATATTCAATTACTACACTGAGGCTGGACCCATTTTAATTGGTTAACTGGAAACCAGGTAACTAGCTACATAGACCAACCAAAGAATGGCCACACTGCTCTAGTCCCAGGCCAGCACATTATTCAATTGTTCAGCCTGAGCCTTGCGCGAGGGTTTATGCCTCGGCATAAGGCCCTGTAGCAGGTGAGTGCCTGCCCTAAATGAAAGCGGGCCCCCTGAATCTCAATGCGCCCAGAACTCGTCAATTTTTGCAAATCTTGGCTGGCGCCAGACAGTTGCCACGCGCCAGTTGGTTACATCCAATTTGCTCGTGAGAATCCAAAATATTTGTGAGCCTTCTAGGCTCTTCCAGCACGTGGTATAAGCAGGGAGCACCGCTCATTTGTGCCTGGGTGGTTGGGCATGCCTAACCAATTCGGTCCCAGGCCACTGTCTGAACGGGCCTGGGCGCAGACACTTTGGCCGAGACTGAAGCTACTGGAAACTCGGCGAGCTGGGCTGGATATAGTCGGGCAGTTGCAAGTTGTCTGCAGCGATTTCTCGCGCGCTGCTTGCTGCGCTAGTGCAGGTGCTGCGCGCACGCACGGACGTGCACAGTGTAGGGCGCTGCTGAGGGCAGCGCCATAGCCAGCCCCACATAGCTGAGCCAGTGGAGATGGTGGTGGTCTTCATGCAAGAGAGGAAGACATGGGTAAGAGAAGACGAGGAAGAGAGTGAGAGACACAAGAACGATGGTGTGAGGGCACGTACCTGGTCGTGGTGGTGGTCTACAAGGTCGACATTTTCATGCACTTCGGTTGTTGCTGCTGACGTCAACGGGATGCATTGTCAATTCATAGGCTGCTAGTAGCTGTGTAGTAGTAGTCTGGGCGCTGAGCGCCAAGTAGGAGGGAAGGGCTCTGGATACATGTTTTGGTGGTGGTGAGAGTATGCTCTCATTGACATTCCGATTCAGTACTTTGGTTCTCCGTTGGTAAAATATCAGTGCATTTCTGCTTTTTGAACAGCGTTGGACTTTCTGACCTTCAGTGTGAATTTGGGTTATGGATTTCATCATTTCTGTCATTTTGCTATCGCTCATTTTCCTTGCACTTGCCACAACAAACCCGCCCTCTGCTAGGCTTAGATCAAACAAGGTGTCTGATATCGTCATTATAGGCTCACAGTGACCTGAGCGGTGTGCCTCAGGCATGCAACCACATGAGCAGAGTGACATGAGTGGCGCTTGAACCCAGCACCTTCCTGGTGCGA